TTAAAGATTTTATTTATTTATTTGACAGAGACAGAGATAGCGAGAGCAGGAACACAAGCAGCGGGAGTGGGAGAGGAAGAAGCAGGCTTCCCCTCGAGGAGGGAGCCTGATGTGGGACTCGATCCCAGGACCCTGGGATCATGACCTGAGCCGAAGGCAGACGCCTAACGACCGAGCCACCCAGGCGCCCTGGAAATGTATATTTTAAAAGAGTGAATTTTGGGATTGGGACGCCTGGATGGCTTAGTCAGTTAAGTGTCTGCCTTTGGCTCAGGTCAGGATCCCAGGGTCCTGGGCTCGAGCCCCGCATCAGGCTCCTTGCTCAGCAGGGAGCCTGCTTCTCCCTCTGCTCCTCCGCCGCCCCTCCCCCTGCTTGTGCTCTCTCCCCTCTCTCTCTCACAAATAAATATTTTAAAAAAAGACATGCAATCTATTTTAAAAAGTGAATTTTATGATATGTAAACTATATTTTAATAAAGAAAAAAACCCGCACTCCAGACAACTAGGGTTCCCTGAGTCCACCCTGTCCAATGTCAGCCCCACAAGAAATGGAACATGTTGGGAATAATTTCAGAGAGGCCACTGATGGGACAAAGGCTAGAAGAAATATTCCCTAAGAACTCCCAGCCTGTAGAAAAGGCTGAGGAATCTTTTAGGCCCTCTTTGTTCAAACTCACTTGAGGATCTAGTGGTTCTCAAATCAGGTGAGATTTTGCCCCTCGGGGGATATTTGGCAATGCAGGAGGCCATTCTGGTTGTCCCAACCTGGGGTGGCTATTAGCACCTCGGGCGTAGAGGGCGTAGAGGCCAAAGATGCTGCTAAACAGCGCATGGGACAGTCCTCACGACAATGACCCAGTCCTAATTGTCAACAGTGCCACAGCTGAGAAACCATGATTTAATTTCATGATGGGTTAGTTAGTTTTTAAAAATCCTTGGATTTATATAACCCAGGGGCCCTTCTGGTAACAGTATTTCAGTACTGTTCCAAGCAGTAAAGCATGCCTCAAAACAGAACCTCAGGTGTGGGCCGGCCCAGGTCCACCTCAGGCAAACCTATTTCAAAAGAGCAGCCCAGGCCTTTCCATGCTCGGAGTGGGGCAAACCTGCCGCTCAAAGACCTAGGTCTTCAGCAATGAATTATACTTTCAAAGGGCTGCTTATCAAGTTTTATCCTTAAATGGCTAACCAAAGCTTTCTTAAAGAACAGCATTTCCTAAAATACTAACCGGTAAAGTTTATCTGAAACACTCGCATAAGAAATGGAAATTTTTCCTCACATAAGAAAAGACAACATAGGGGCGCCTGGGTGGCTCAGATGGTTAAGCGTCTGCCTTCAGCTCAGGTCATGATCCCAGGGTCCTGGGATCGAGCCCCACATGGGGCTCCTGGCTCAGCCGGGAGTCTGCTTCTCCCTCTCCCTCTGCCTCTCCCACTGCTCATGCTCTCTCTCTCTCTCTCTGTATCTCTGTGTCTCAAATGAATAAATAAAATCTTTAAACAAAAAAAAAAAGACAACATAAAAAAAATGTCTACAATAGGAAACTGAGAACTACAGTTACTAGTATATGCTGAATAAAATCCAAAGCATATAGATGGATAGACAGATACAGCCCATCCGTAAATGCCACCCATTTTCCACAGCCCCTCCAAGCTTAGTGACCCAATGCTAGCGTCATCACCGAATTTCCAGGCTCTACCTAGCACTCCAAAAAAGGTTCGGCTGTCTTACTCTGAAAACACTTCAAGAAAATTGTGTTGTAAACATATTTGAGCCCTTAAGACCACAACCCACAGGTCCCTTCCCAAAGGGTGAGCCTGAAAATGGAGTGGATTCTTTCATATCTTCATCACATAAAAGGAAAACAATTAAATGTCAATTATCCAAAAATCTATTACCCAGAGATTAACTACTCCTAGTACTGTGGTGTATGATCTTTCAGAATTTTCCTAGGCAAATATACTCACATAAATTTCTTTTCATAAAAAGGGGACCATTCTACACACCATTTTATGGCATGCTCATTTCATATAGTAACATACTTATTTTCCTATGTCAACAAATCCACAGCTGCACCATCATTTTCTAGAATATCTGATTACAGGGTTGTACCCCTTGATTTTTTGAAAAACACCTCCTATTGGACTTTTTCAAAACATTTTTTATTTGAGAGAGAGAGAGAGAAAGTGCACGCTCGAGAGAGGGGAGGAGCAGATGGGGAGGGAGAATCCCAAGCAGACTCCCCGCTGAGCGCAGAGCCTGATGAAGGGCTCGATCCCAGAACCCGAGATCACTAACCTGAGCTGAAACCAAGAGCGGGTCGCCCAACCAAATGCGCCACCCAGGCGCCCCTCCTATTGGACTTTTGATTGTCTTCGGTATTTCGCTACTATCCTGGAATGTACCTACGTCCTGTTTACGCTTGCCTGATTGCTTTCCCCCTAGAATAAATTCTCAGAAGTGGAACTGTGAGTTTTTTCAACGTCTGAATTTCACATGGCCAAACTTCCCTCTGTGAGGTGTGACAACTCATCCTGTCACCAGCAGCCTATGAATGTTGTTCCTCCATCCAGAGCCGTTCCGGGACACATACTCCCGGTGGAGTCTATCTACTGACCCTCGGCACCTCGGACCCTGAGGATGCCCTCCCATGGCCATATTCTGCCAACGCAGGCTGATTCCTTCATCTCGAGCTGAACCAACAGCGAAACCGTCCTCTATCCCAGGTGTCAGCTGTTTCCACTCTACCCCCATCCATTTGGAAAACTAGCCTGAACACCCACAGGCTGTTTTCACTATACAAAATGCCACATGGTAAAGGAAAACCTCTGTGGCCACGGTGTAATTTAGAGCAAATCTGTCAGTAAATGGGCTTCTGCCCACACCCCATCCACAGCAGGGTGATGTTCCTCCATCTTCTAACCTCAGGGTACAACTCCGCCCCACCTCCCCCGAAAGCAGAGGCTCACGCTGGTTTGCTGCCTCGAGCCTGGTGGTTGAGGGCTGGCAGGAGAGACCTGGAGAGGAACTTACGTAGAGATGAAAATGTAAGAAGTGGGCCAGCACGCTGGGGGCCACGCCAGGGAAGGCAGCCAGGAGCGTCTGCAGGTAGACCTCCAGATCCTTCTCCCTCTTTTCCACCAAGCTTCTTGAGTTTTTCCCAATGATCTTTTTAGGCGGAAGCAGGTTTTTATCAATTTTCCTTTCTGCAACCAGCTGTAAGAAAATAGAAGCATGGTCAACCACAGCCCCAGAGGTCTGTGATGTTGCAGGATCGAGGCAAGCAGCGTGAGGACAGGTGCTTGCCAAAACTCCCACAACCCCTTCCGGCAGTGGTATGAGAATTAGCGATCCAACTAGTGCATCTGGAATTTGGCCTCATCAGATTCAAATAGTATTGGAAATACCAGTACCTTGATTGCAGACAAGGAGCTCCATCTGGAGCCTGTAGAGACAGTCAGAAAATACCCCCAGGCCCCTAAGAACCACCACTTTTTTCCAAAGCAGAATGAAAACCAATCAGAGCGGTGGCCTGTCTTTAAAACACTCATGTTGCAAATGACCCAGAGAAAGGTGGCTCTCTCCAAAAACAAAGAAAGAAATGGAATCACAGCCAGACATTAAAGTCAAGACTCTGGAGTAGCTCTAGTCAGGTGGGACAAGTTTAAACCCGTTCCCTCCCCGGGACACTGACCATTATAGGCACGGAGCTGGTTCTGCCCTCACTTTAATGTGTGGCACAATGGAAATTTGGCCTAAAAGCCCCCAAGCCCTGAGACGACTCCCAGTTCTCAAGAGTTACCTTTTCGTGGAGATCATAGAAATCGCTGTAGCGGTGCTTGACTGTCCATTCATGGCTGCCATCAGTGACCTGGATGATATAAACCTACAAGGGAAAACCGACAGTCCTTGCCCAGCCAGCCAAAAGGAAAGCCCTGTCCTCCCCTCAGCAATAGCCACAGGCCACCCAGACCACCCAGCCCCCAGGCCAAAGTTAGGCTACCCTTGCCCACTAGCCTCTGCATCTGACCCTCGCCAAGCAGCAGGACCCCCTCGCAGCTTCCTCCATAGCCCTAGCACCAGCTGGCAGGCACACGGGATCAATCCATAGGTCTACCTAACAGTGAGGAACAAAAAAGGTGACCATCTTATCAAGCCATCTCTTTAGTTTTTTACTTCCAGCCTCTAACCTGAGCTGCAGGCAAGGCCACCCCCTCCAAGAGCAGCAGAACAGGGTGGGGTCTGGCAGGACTAGCTTCTCTGTTGTGTATTTTTCCAGGTGCCCTGACTATATCCTAGAAGCAAGTCCCTTCCCAACACTTTCAGCTGGTTCCTGGCTAGGATTTCTGCTGCTGAGCCAGGCATCAAAGCACTAAGAAGCCGATGGGAGGCTGGGGGGAAGGGAAGTGATGAACAATCAAGACTAGCAGAAGGCAATATGGCTTCGCAGGTTAAGGGAAAGGGCCTTGGAGTCAAGGAAGACCTGAGTTCAATATTTGGTTCTGCCATTTCCTGGCTGGCCTATGTAAGTGACTGGGAGCCTAAATTCTCTCTGAGTCTCAGTTTCTCCATCTTAAAATCTGATAGATTTAGTAATTGAATAAAGTAATTCAAGCAAAATGCTTTGTACAAGGTCTGACATGCAGCAAGCGTTCAACAAAAGGTGTGTTAATAATATAATAATAACCAGCACACCCGAGACAAACCGTGGGGTCAGCCTGGATCACCACTTCCCCTATATCCATGCAAAAGGGGCTCAGCCCCGCGAATAGGGAGAGCTTTTTGGAGCTGACGTCCTAACTGAATGCTGCTTATGGGCAATGGCCTACCGGCCATCAGCTCTGAGACCTCAACCCTCACCTGGAAAGGCCCCCCCCCCTCCGGTCTCAGCGTCCCGCCCCTCTCTGCAGCATGTAGGGAAGGGGGAGGAGAAATCATCAAATCAGCTGAAGCCTCCAGAGAAGAGCAGCCATTTCTCCAGGGCTGGCCTGTTGCTGCAGGATCCGCCCCCAGCCCCTCTTCCCAGCCTGGCAGCTTCCCTCCCCCTCCTGCCGCCCAGGAAAGGAAAAAGAGCCAGAGAAATGACCCTCAGGAAGAGGGTTAGGATGAGGGCCAAGGGGGTGGGGTGAAGGCAGGGCCAAAGCCCCCCCCCCCGCCCCCATCCTCAGGGAACAAAGAACAGGAGGCTGGGAGATGCTCAATACGCCCCCACCCCAAGGCCAGTCCCTGCCTGGCTGCCTACCAGGCCCACAAGCCTGGCGACTAACCCCATACAGATCCAGAAAAGCCTCCCAACTCCATCAGTCTGGAACTCCACCCCTCTTTTCTGTTCTCCACCTCTCCCAAGGCCTTGAAGTGTGTGGGCGCCTTGTTGCCCCAACAGGCTCCCTCCGCCCAAAGCCATGAAGACCCCTGAGGTTCCTGGGTCTTATACTTTCAGCCCAGAGTGACGACCTCAATTCCCCCGTGTCACGGCTCCACTCCTCCCCCATCTGGTCTCTGCCTGACTTCCAAGGCCTTGGGGCTCCAGATCCCCCCTTTTTTTAAAGCAAATCTCAACTGCGACCCCAACCCCCACCCCCAGATCAAGGCCCCGCTCCCTCTTCTTCATGGCCTGCAGGACCCCGGACCTTTCCCCGATTCCATCCATCAGAGACCCCTCCCCTCCCGGACCCCCTGTCACGTCCTCCCAGGCCGGCGCCCCTACAGGCCTAGAGGATCTAGAAGGGCCTCCGCCTCATCTAGACTCCCGTCTTCCGCAGACCCCTTTATCCCCAGATCCTCCCCAACCCTAGCCCTCATTTCTGAAAGCGTACCCCTTCCCCAAGCTGCCTCCCTGGGACCCACCCCAGGGCCCTGTCCCCGGACCTGCGAAACCCATACGCCTTCCCCAGATTCCCCTCCTCGAAACCGAGGCCCCCGCTACCGCGTCCTCCCCGGTGGCGGGGCCCAGATCCCCCCCAGCACCCCCCCCGACTTGGGACTCCGGGTTCCAGCCGCCACCCCCAGTTCTGGCGCCCGCGCCCCCTGCACACCGTATACGTGTCCACGAGCTCAGAGCCCACGACGCGCGCCTCCTTGACCGGCTCGGCCTCTCGCTCGGACCCGAAGCTGCGCGCCGCCGCCGCCATGTTCCGGGCTCCGTTGCGGCAGCCGCCACTGCCGAGCGCAGACTGGCAGCAGCAGGGGGCGGGGTCAGCGTCCCACCGCCCCCTGGCCCCCACCGCCCCCCGCCCCCGCCGCGCGCCGCGCAGCCATCTTGGCCCCACCGCCTCCTCTCGCCCTCGCCCCGCCCCTCGCGCGTAATTGACAGCAGCCGCCAACAGCGCGCGTGCGCAGGCCGCAGAGGCCTGAGCGCTCGCGTCATTTGTAAGCTCCTTTGCGGCGTTCCCCGCAGCCTGGGAGAAACGGAGGCACCGGGCGGGGGTAGCTCTGGGCATTGCCACTCGGTGCGCGGGAAGGGAGGACGGAAAACCTCGCACCTCCCGGGCTACCCGAAGCAAGTCATTGCTCCACCTGGCCTCTGTTTTTCCCCCTCCAGAAAGAGGCAGTAATCGCGCCCCGCCTGGCTCTCGGGCTCATTCCCTGGAGGGCACGAGAGGATTGAAGGAGAAGATACGAGCTGGGGGCGCCTGGGTGGCTTAGTCGTTAAGCCTCTGCCTTCGGCTCGGGTTGTGGTCGCGGGGTCCTGCGATCGAGCCCCACATCGGGCTCTCTGCTCGGCGGGAAGCCTGCTTCTCCCTCTCCCACTCCCCCTGCTTGTGTTCCCTCTCTCGCTGTCTCTCTGTCAAACAAATAAATAACATCTTTAAGATTAAAAAAATATATGAGCTGTGCTTAGAGCTCGAGCTGGACAGAGTAACTCTGCGCCAGTTCTTAACCTCTCGGAGATTTGGAGACCTCTTCTATTGTATGCGGTTCATCTATGCAATGCGCGACACTCAAGGCAGGGAGCTGGTGTGGTTATCGAGAGGGCTCTGCATGTGGGTGGAAGGAAGGGATATGTGCTGGTCATCGACTGCAAGACCCCCCGATGGTGTCCTACCAGAGCTCAGAAGGTGGGGTGACAGGCTGGCCCTGGATCCAGAAACTACAGTGCTGGAATGGGGTAGCACAGAGGTGGAGCCCTAACCCAGGGGAAGACCCTGACCCAGAAGAGAGATGGTAGCCGAGCTGGAGGGGAAGAGTCTAGCACAGATCGGGCATCTGTGGGTGTGTTTATTGAACGACTAAATGCAGCTCACCCAAGCCCAGAGCTAGTACTGCTCTCCCTGGGGAGATGAGAGGTCTTGGGCATGGATGCTTTGACACCCCTGGCTGAATGGGCTCCACACCCCTCTGTACTAAGGTGGGTCAATGACTTCCTTCTCCAACGGTTACACAGCACCGTACTCTGAACTTGGCATTCGAGGCTTCTCTTGGCAGGGCCTCTCCTTGCATACTGCTGGCCAGCACCGGCCACCCCCCCCCCCACCGCCTCCAACAGGTTTAGCTTAAGGCAGGGGCTGCCAAGTCAGCCATACCCTGAGCAAGTCACCAGCCCTCCAGGAGCCTCAGTTTCTTCAGCTGAAAATTGGGGATAATATTGCCCACCTCCCTGACTGGAGTTGAGCTGCTGTGTGTAGGGGCCTGGCCTGGGGCCCGCTACTTCGAAGCACCTGTCCTGTCCTTGGCTCACGTTTTCATTCATTCAAGAAACTTTTCCAGAGAGTCCCCTGGGAGCCATAGAGGACGGAGGGAAAAAGACGTGGTCCTTGCAGCCCTTCATCTGCTCCCTGCGCTGGGCAGAGGACACAGGGACTCAGGCCAGCCTGAGATCACCAGGGCTGGGGGAGGGGGTGGAGGATACTGCACGCAGGGGTGGGCTGGGCCGGGCCGGCCCGGAATGCAGTGGGGCAGGGCTATTTAAGCCCAGGGCTGGCTGGCAACCCCAGCAGCCTGCCCTGTGAGCCGCCAGCATGGATGACATCTACAAGGCTGCGGTGAGGGACTGGGCTGGACTGGGCTGGGCAGGGCTGGGGTGGGTGGGCCCACTGGGAGCTCACTCAACTCACGTTGGGGGACGAGGTCACCCCACGAAGGTGGTGGGGGCCCAGGAGAGGGCCCATGCAACTTTCAGCCCAGGCCTTCGAGGGGAAGGTGGATCTGGCATTCCAGTTCCAGGGTGTGGAAGGAGTGCGGGGTTCAGGGGCTGGAGAGGAGCTTTCAGGTGGGTGGAGGAGGTCACCACTTTTAGCATCATGTCTGCCCCTGTCTCCAAGTGTCTGTAGTCTGTGTCACTGTCTTCCAACCACATCTCCCTTCACTCGTGTCCGTGATCTCTGGATCTTTGCCTTTCTCAGTCTCTTTCCATCTCTTTGTTCCTCCCAGCTGTCCTTATGAGTCTCTGTTGCTGTCTCGCTTGTCCCCACCCCCCTTTCCTGCCCCTCACATTCTGCTTCTCACACTTATAATCCCCAACCTACCTCCAGCTCCTTGGATGGCTGAATACGCTGTGGAGGGTGGGACAGGAGTTTGAGGAGGGGGCTGGAGAGCCAGAATCCTGAGCTGGAGAAGGGGCTTAGAAGTTTGAGGTAGGCAGGGAAGCACTGGGCATGGGGGAGAGACGGGGGGAAGGAATAGAGAACCGGGGCCGCAGCCCCCATCAGGCCTGGCAGACTCAGGGCTCAGCGGTCTAGCCAGGGGTGAGGGCTGGAGAGTGGTCACCCCAAGTCCCTGCAGCATCCTAGGGTCACTGAGGGACTTCAGATAGTAGTCCCTCCCCGGAGTGGGGGGTGTTGCTGACCTCCCCCTGCCCCAGAGGTGAGGACATTTGGCCCAGACAGCTGTCCCCAAGGGAACCCCTCCCTCAGCCCTGGGAGTGCAGCCCCACTCCTGGGCAGGCAAGAGCTACAGCTGGCTCTGGGGCTGCCCCTGCCTATCCCGCAGGCGTCCATGGAGCTGGGGCACTCCACCCGGTGCCCATACAAGGCCTGGTGGGGCTGGGGACTAATTTTGGCTCCTGAGGCACCAGCAGGCCAGGGGGCCAGATAACACTGCCCCACCCCCCTGCATGCCAGAGTCCCCAGAACAATCACCAGGTTTAACTTTGTCCCCCGTTAAAAATAGCCCAGTGGCCATCCCGGTCAGGTTACAGTGGGTGACTTTGCCCATCCCCACAGTGGTTTTATTGTCCCAACCTGAGGGACAGCTGTCCCTCAGGCCACCCAGCTTGGATTTCAGCAGGGGGGCCGAAAGGGCATTGACTGGTCACTGACTATTGTTACTCAGGGTCACCTTGGCCCTGGAGGGGGCACCCCCCTGTCACCCTGGCCCTAAGCCCTGCCTCAGTGAGGCCAGCGGGGTCACCTCAGGGCTTTGGGGGGCAGGGAGGGAGGACTGTGACCTGGGAATGGCCTGCCTCTTCCTGGCTTCAGTTTCCCCGTCTGTGGAATGGGTTGGTTTCCTTAATAGCAGCTAAGTCCTGAATCTGAGTCCTGAGACCTCCTTTCCTCTCTAGGTAGAACAGCTGACAGAAGAGCAGAAAAATGGTGAGTGCCCCAACACACGTGGGGGTACAGCAGTGTCGGGCTGGAAGAGCATAAGGACCCCAGAGGCTGGGGTCCCTCTTACTGTGACCTCAGAGGTCTTGGAGGGAAATGGGCAGTTGACAGGTAGCTCCAGAGGTCTGGCCTTCTGGGGTCCTGGCTTCTGAGCCCTGGCCACTCTGTAACTCCCCCAACACACCCCCCCCCCCCGCCGCATTTGGACACAGAATTCAAGGCAGCCTTTGACATCTTCGTGCTGGGCGCCGAGGATGGCTGCATCAGCACCAAGGAGCTGGGCAAGGTGATGAGGATGCTGGGCCAGAACCCCACACCTGAGGAGCTGCAGGAGATGATTGACGAAGTGGATGAGGACGGTGAGCCCCCCTGCCCCCCAGGCCCTAGACCCGCCTCACCCTCAGCTTGCTTGGGACCCGAGTCCTGGCTCTGCCACTTATTACTCTGTGCCCTCGAAGGAACCCGTTAGCCTCTCTGAGCCTCAGTCATGTCACCTATGAAATGGGCATAACGACCACACTCATCTCACGGGGTTGCTATGAGGACGCGTGCAGGGACAGCACCGGGGTTTATCGTCAAGAGCATTCTAACCGTCCCTCACCTCCAGGCAGTGGCACAGTAGACTTTGATGAGTTCCTGGTCATGATGGTTCGGTGCATGAAGGATGACAGCAAAGGAAAGTCTGAGGAGGAGCTGTCGGACCTCTTTCGCATGTTTGACAAGTGAGTGCCTAACCCTGGATCTCTGACCCTGACCCTAGCAGAGGTGGGGAAAGGGGGACAGTCTGGTGACCTCAAGCCCTCAGTCTCCCATTCTGTGCAATGGGAGAATGGGATGGCCCACCTCCCAGCGGCCTTGCCTTGCCTCCTGGGGTCGTGGGTGGGGCTGCTTCTTCCCTTCCTCTGGCCCACACCATGAGCTCTGAGGTCCTCTTCACCCCCCACCCCTGCACAGAAATGCTGATGGTTACATAGACCTGGATGAGCTGAAGGTGATGCTTCAGGCTACGGGTGAGACCATCACAGAAGACGACATTGAGGAGCTCATGAAGGATGGTGACAAGAACAACGATGGCCGCATTGACTATGACGGTGAGGGGGGGCGCTGTGCTGGATCCCTGCTGCCCACACCCTGGCCAGACCCCTTCTCTGACCTAGGCCTCTCCTCTCTCCACAGAGTTCCTGGAGTTCATGAAGGGGGTAGAGTAAGACACCAACGCTCGCCCAGAGCTGCCTGTGCTACCTCCCAACGCCATGGTGGGGGCCAGGGGCTGGGGTCCCCAGGATGGGAGCTTGGGTGTGTCCTCGATCGTGGGCCCTCCCTGACTGCCTCCCCCAGCCCTATCCTGGGAATTCAAATAAAGCCCTGCTCCCTGGAGGCCTGGTGTCTGGCTTTCATTCCCGGGGGCGGGGGGGGGTGGTGCTGTGGATGCTCTGATGACCATTTCCTGCCTTATCCTTGAGCCTGTGCTCTACCCACCCCCGTACACCATCTTCTGCCAGAGGGCTTAGATTAGGCTAGAGATTACCACATTCCATGGCCCACTGGCCCCTTTCTATGACTGCTAATGCCCGGGCCCTGTCTCCAGAGATTCAGCATCTGGACTTGGTGGTGGCCCAGGAATCCACGTTGAACAGGCTCCTGGGGGCTGTGGCTTTGATTGCCAA